CAAAGAGGCGGTGCGGGAGGCCACCGATGTGGGCACAACCCACCAGGGCGTGCCTAGGCCCCTAGGCGCACCCAGGTGGGTTGTGCCCCCTCGGGGCACCCTCTAGTACTTCTTTGGCCCAAGTTGTTCCTTCTGGTCCATAAAAATTCTCCAAAAAGTTTCCCTGCGTTTGGACTCCGTTTGGTACTGATATTCTACGGAGTAAAAAAAGCAAAAAATAGCAGCTGGCACTGGGCACTATGTCAATAGGTTAGTCCCAAATAATGATATAAAGTTGCTATAAAATGATTGTAAAACATTCAAAAATGATAATATAACAGCATGGAACAATCAAAAATTATAGATACGTTAGAGACGTATCATGGCCCATCTTAGCGTGAGACCGATGCCCAAAAATCCTAAAAATAGAGAAACCACTATAAATAACCCTAGAACTTGGACTCCGCCGCCGCAAGCCTCTGTACCTTCGAAATACCATCTGGAACCCTATTCCGGCACCCTGTCGGAGGGGGGAAATCATCACTGGAGGCCATCTTCATCATCCCGGCGGCCACCATGATGAGGAGAGAGTAGTCCACCCTTGAGGCTAGGGGTATGTACAAGTAGCTATATGTCTGATCTCTCTCTCTCTCTCTCTCTCTCTCTCTCTCTCTCTCTCTCTCTCTCTCTCTCTCTCTCTCTCGTGTTCTTGATTGGCACTATCTTGATGTACCTCGAGCTTTGCTAATATAGTTGGATCATATGGTGTTTCTCCCTCTCTATCTTGTCGTGATGAATTGAGTTTTTACATTTGAGGTTTCACTATTATCAGACTGAATACTTGTTGGATTTGAGAACACTTGATGTATGTCCTACATAGGAATACCCGTGGTGACAATGGAGTATTATATTAATTTCCTTGATGTATGTTTTGGCACTCAACTCACGGATTTCGGCGGTGACATTGGGTAATCTATGCATAGGGGTTGATGCACGTTTTCTTCCTACTTTCTCTGATATAAATCTTGGGGCACTCTTTGAAGTTGTTTGTGTTGGATTGAATATTATGAATCTGAAGTTGTTTGATGCGTATCGTATAATTGACTCACGGATATTTGTGGTGACATTGGAGTATTTAGGTGACATTAGTGTTGATTGATGTGTATCATATGGTGTTATTTTAGTACGAACTCTAGTGATGTTTGAGACACTTATAGGAATAGCTCAAAAGATTGATCGGAAAGGATAACTTTGAGGTGGTTTCGTACCCTACAAACAATTTCTTCTTATGTTCTCCACTAGATAAGAACTTTGGAGTGACTCTTTGACGAACGTTGAGGGATTGTTATATGATTCAATTCTGTTAGCACTGTTGAGAGATTGCACTAGTGAAAGATGAACCCTGGGCCTTATTTCTAAGCATTGCAATACCGTTTGAGTTCTGTTTTATCATTTGCTACCTTGTTGTTTTAAAAAAAATAGATTACAAAAACCTATATCTACCATCCATACTACACTTGTATCACCATCTCTTTGCCGAACTAGTGCACCTATACAATTTACCATTGTATTGGTTGTATTGGGGACACAAGAGATTTCCTGTATTTGATTGCAGGGTTGTTTGAGAGATACCATCTTCATCCTGCGCCTCCCATGAATTGATAAACCTTAGGTCATTCACTTGAGGAAAAATTACTACTGTCCTACAAAACTCTGCGCTTGGAGGCCCAACACGAGTCTTCAATGTGTAGTAGACATTATATGCTAAGCATAATATGATGTGGGATGCAGTCATCAACAGTTGGTCCTCTGGGTGTGTGTTGTTTTAAACTTTATATGTATGCTCTCTCATGTGCATTAATGTAATGAAATTTTGTTGCATCAAAATAATTCACAATTGTATGGACCTTTGAGTTATGAGTAGAGATGGCATCAATTTGGAGATGCAGATGACACCGATGGTGTAGTACGAGTGACATAATAGAGCAAAAACATTGAGCTGAAAGCGGATTGATTTAGGTGGAGGTGGCCTTATCTAACACATCATAGGGTAATACTTCTACACGTAAGTATTATTTATAATGCTGTAGTAGGAGATCTGAGCTACATCGTCAAAGTTTATAGTGTTATAGTTAATTAAAGAATTAGCCCATTGAAGGCATAAATTTTAAATTAACTTCTTTGCAGTAGAAATGTTTTAGGAATGTTGATGATATCTTTGCTGAAGCAAGACTAAACGTATAGAATATGATTCCAATAATAAACACATATGATGACTATCTACTAAATCCCCCAAGAACAATTATGACCGAGAAACAAGCTAGCGCTACCAAGAGTGAGAATGGGAGGGGATTGAAGGACAATCACCACATATATTCTAGAATCTTCTGCTTTGTTGCAAATCAACTGCTAGTCTACTACTCTAGAAACCTCTTAGGAACTACTATGAAGTTATTTGTACATATACACTCCAAAGTAGTCTACTGGGTCTTATAGGTAATTAATGATACTATTGGCAATCCCACGGAAATAATTAATATTTATTTTCTAAAACATCACAAAGTAAATTTAAAATAAAACAATATTTTTGATAAGAGTTTCACTTTACAAGACATATATATTATAAGCATGACTATGTTGTTATTTATAATATTTGTATTTACAAACAGTATATCAAAGAATGTGTCAATACAAATTGACATATGTTTACCAATATGAGTTATGAAAAGGTATAAAAAGTTTACACAATAAATATGCATTGAAAAAACAAAACTAAAATGAACTTGCGTGTGCCCGATAAGTTTAGTTTGCCCTCTTGCGAGCAGTGTCCTTGGAGACTGGAACATGAGGCTCATCCATGTTATACCACTCATCTACACAAAAACAAAAAACTCAGATGTACAAAAATGTACAAAATTAGTAGTATGGAAGATATTGCATCAATCTAAAGACCAGGCAGGTCAGGTTTGAACATGGAAGAGCCATCCGGGACATACTTGGTGCCCTCATAGTTCTTGGGCGCCTGGATATGGAAGAGAGGGTAATCAAAAGTCCAACATTACAAAACTAAAACAACCTAATGAACATGACTTGCGATCCATGATCCGAAGATAAACAAGACAAGTCCAACATTACAAATTAAGGCCCCAAGCGAACTCTCAAATGACCACAAATCAAAACGACTAGGAAGACTCGAGCAGAAGCCAATCAAGGCCCTAGGCCACTCCCAAATCATGATCAAACATCCACAAATCATAATGACTAGGAAGACCTCGTGCCGGTCGGATCTGAACCGATGGGGTAACCTGGATCCTAGCAACGACGACCAAGGAAGGAAGTGATACGTCTCCAACGTATCTATAATTTTTTATTGTTTCATGATATTATAGTATCAATCTTGAATGTCTTATATGCATTTATATGCTTATTTTATATCATTTTTTGGACTAACCTATTAACCTAGTGCCAAGTGCCAGTTGCTCTTTTTTGGTGTCAGGAGCTTTAGATCTATTTAAGGGTTCAACGACGACGATGACGGCGGCTCCAGGGCACTAGTCCTTAGGGGCACGTGCACGAAGACTTCTCGGGTATCATCGACAAGGTCAAGCCAGCTCCAATAGGAGAGTAGCGACAGCGGCACATTGGCGGATCGTTCTGGCGGCGGTAGTGATCGTTTGACGGTCTCCGTATCATGATGTAATTTTTATTATGTTTGAGGTGCTTTGTACTTTCGGTGAACTTTGATAATTGATTTGAATTATTTTTGCAAAAAAAAAAACCACTTGTGCCAGAAAACAAGAACTTCCCTTTGTGCACAAATAGCCGACGTGCGATAAGTGGCTAACCCCACATCATGTCAGAATCTTGTGATCAAAACCCAAGTGCAGAGGATACCCTGGATGTCTAACTCCTCAAACACACCAGGGCGATCCCTCTCGTTTTCCTCCCATAACTCTAGACCGGTAGGTCAAACTCTCCCCTTCAAACTTCATCGGCGAATTCGTGGATTCGCCTCCCCTCAGCTGCTGCTCCGGCGGTCAGTGGTGGGGAGAGGAATCCCGGTGCTTCCACTCAAGTTAGTAATTTAAGTTATGGTTTTTTAGTCCTCGCAAGTGCGGCACTCGGGTTGATGGTGGCGCTTCTTCTTTGAGTTTGTCTTCCGAACTCCAATCCTCCTCGAGTTCATTATGTAGTCGGCGGAGCTCTGGCGTAGATTCATGCTGTGTCTTCGGGGCTGTGAGGTTAGGGTTTCTCGTCATGTGGTGAGATTTGGTGTCGGGTGCTTCAGATCTATGCGAGGGTTTAACGGCAATCACGGTGGCTCTAGGGCGCTAGTCCTTAGGGGCGCGTGCATGAACACTTCACGGAGGTCATCAACAAGGTCAAGCTAGCTCCGGTAGGAGAGCGGCGACAGCAGCGCGCGCCTCGTTCTGACGGCCACAGTGGTTATTCGGCGGTTTCAAACTCTCAATGTAATTATTATTATGTTTGATATGTTTTGTATTTTCAGTGAACTTTTATAATAGATGTGATGCTTTTCGTAATAAAAAAAACAAGTGCAGAGGATGATGATGAACTGATCGATCGTTGCAAATTTTCCGCAAATCTACAGAGCCGCTCCCCAATGGAACTCAGCAAGGGTGCATCATTGCGCCGGAACTGGCCGGTCGGGACGGAGCACTACTCACACGGACAGGGACGCTGCCGTTGTTGTCAGCAAAGCTTGTGTTTGTGCCTCCATGGAAAGCAGAGTGCCGTGGCTCTCATAAATACAAGATAGAAAAAATGACAGAGCATCATTCATAGTAATGAATATTGACTGAATTCAACATAAGCACGTACAGCAAGGCCACAACATAGGTGTGCATATTTTAGCCATTTCATTGTCGAAAATAGCTAAATGAATTGTTCCAACAAATTGGTAACCGAGAAACATTTTTGCAGAAAAACAATAGCATTGACATAGTCTTTGAGATCGGGGAGTCCTTCCAACCACATCGAAATTCATCTTCAACTCAACCTTATGAGCGGAACAGAATATCAGGAGAAGCACCAAATCGAGATTCATCTTCAACTCGACCTTATGAGTGGAACAGAATACCAGGAGAAGCTGACACTGACGCTGCTGTCATCTTCTTCCTCAACAATTCCACCTCCTCGGTGGTCCGTGGATAACTCGAAGGACGAACCTCAGTGTGAGGAAACTTCTCGGCACAAAATTCACACACCTTCCTGTCGTGCAGGGATACCTCCCTGATATTCACCGCAGCTTGAATGACACGCCTGATGTATCCTGTGAAATTGCCATCGGACTGAAAGCCATAGATAATTAGCCTCACCAGATTCTTGTGCTTAAAATGAGGATCACACGGCTCCCACTTCACATCCGATATTTCGAAGAAACTCTTCTGTGACTCCATTCGGCACTTATGGTCCCATACCGTGATGCAGAGCTCCTCTACGTGTGGTGCAGCTTCAAGAACGAACATTGTCCAAGAGATATCACATTCTTCAGGGTGATGATCCAGATTCAGATATCGAAGTTTGGCAAGCACTGGAGCAAGCACTTTTGGGCATTCTGGTTGAACCCAAATCTGGGAGAGATAAAACAAACTAGAAGTAATAATGCGTGCAATTTGTGCATAAATTGCATCATCAAGTGATGCATAAGTTACTACCGTCAGATATAAACATCATACATGAATGGGATAGAGATGATTAGAGTGAGTACCTTTTCGCTTAGAAAGTCCAGATACAAATCGCTTACTGTGGGGGCATTAGCAAGAAGCTTGCTTAAGTTGAGGATCTTGCCTGAAAGGTTTGCATTAGCAAGACTGAGCTTCCAAAGCTGAGGGACAAAACCAAGAACCAAGGGATTTTCATCACAGGGCCAATTATTGTAGGTCATCCGCTGGAGCTTTGGAAGACACTCAAGCACCACTGTTTTAAATTCCCCAAAGGTGATAACAAGCTCAACGAGTCGAGCGTGCTCTACATGCAGCACCGAGCGGAACCCCCCGTCACACTCGAAGAAAGACAGGGACTCAAGCTGCTTGCAGGTGCTAAGAATGTTGGGTATGTCCGATTCACCAAACCTCAAAAACCGTAGATCCAGCCGCGTGAGACCAGCAAATGCATCCGGGCAATCACGAACAAAATCATTGAACTGCTCAGCAAAGAGTAGGCGATGGTCATCAGTGCAACATCCGTTATCCCACAGTGTCATGATCTCAAACTCAGCTGCATCCAACTTCTGGGTCGCCATGGCGAGGCCGACCGATTTTCCGATGGAGAGACAGCGAGAGGGAACCAAGAAAAATTTGAGCTTCAGCTTGCGAATGGTGATCTGTGGAGACCTCGTACTAAGGATCTTGTCCGTCACGTCAGCCACAACACCATCCATTTGAACCAAATCACGAGGGCTAAGATCAATTACGATCTGCGAGAGCATAGTTGGCAGCTTCTGCATTTTCTTCGAAAGGATGCAGGTTCTTACAGCATCAAGGGTACCAACTCTCTCGAGGATGTTGAGCAGCACGTCATTGGGCAGCTCGCTTAGCCTGTCCTCCCCATTACCACCTGCTTTCTTCCACTGTGTTTTCACTGTCTCAAGGACTTTGACCACAACATCACTTGGCAGCTCACTTAGCCTTTCCTCCCCATAACAAGCTGCTTTCTTCGACTGCGTTAAGGGGACGGATTAGTCATCGGTGATAGATTGATAATTTGAAAGAACAAATAAAGCAAAGAAACAAAAAACGACTTACATCACGGGTGCGGCGACGACCTCTATTGAACTTCATGGCGATCCGATCTCAGAAAGGAACAAAATAGACAACTTGCACCGACAAACAAAACGTCAGAAATTATTCTTGAAAATGCTCCTTCGGTGTGTGACAATCGTCGAAAACGGGGCTGAGTGCTCTTTATATAGCCTCCTCTGAATCGGATCCAACCTGGCAGACAATTCGTAAGTCAGATTGATTTACTATCGTTTCACAAGAGGCGGGCATATTAAAACAGCACCTTTTGCTAAAATAATCCGAAATTGATCCTTTTCTTCTTCGAATCCGATTACAGAACGAGATTGCCACATGTGTTTCCTTCTTACTTCTTCGACTGAATCCGACCAAAGAGCGAACTTGTAGCTTTTTCTTTCTTTTGCTTTCATAATTGGACTAGCTAGCGTTCCTTTAGCGACTAATCAAACCTTCGCGCGCGCTGGTGCAGTGTATGTGCTTGCCGTGCCGCCGGGTGCCAGAGGAGGAGGGCAAGAACGGGAGGGAGCCAGGGAGGTCATACCTGCTTGTGCTCGGGGCGGCGGACGCTGGGGACGGGGGCACGCTTGGAGAGGAACCACAGGAGCGACGAAAGGCAGCGTCCGACGCGGCGACGGAAGGGCGCGTCCGCCGTCAATGCCGAGAGCGAGCCGTCCAGCGTCGGGCGCGACAAGGAGGACGACGGCGTCAGGCGGTGGCGAGAGCGGCGGCGCGGCGCGGCACAAACCCTCAGCGGCGTCCGGGGAATTTGGGGAATAGAGAAGCCGACGATTGAGCGGAAACAGGGTCGCAAAACGTGCCCGAATTTGCTGCTCGGCTTGGCCTGTTTCCTTCTCCGCCTGAGCTTGAGTGGGTTTCGGGCTGAGCAAAATTCCAAAAAAAATTCTTCCTCCGTTCCAAAATAGATGACTCAACTTTGTACTGATTTTATATTTTAAAAAATTAAGCACAGCTGCATCCGGCACCTATACTTGATCGGACAGTCTAAAAAAACCTATATTTTATCGTCTAAAAAAACCTATATTTGAGCAGCCGCACCCAAGTCTCATGATAATTTCGTCCCTTCCCACTGCGCCGGCCCTTCCCCCTCCCCCGCTCACACTGTAGCCATGTCGGCGCCTCCCAAAGCCACCTGCCGGCACCCAATTCTGTAGCGCAAACCCTGAATCCCTCTATCCCTCTTTCAGTCGACCATCGCTGCTCCTATTGTTCCTGTTTTCCATAATTGTTTGAGATGTTAATTTTTGTTCTCATTTTAAAAAATGAATTTCAAAATTTGTTACAATTTTTCAAAGATTGTTCGTGTTTTAAAAAAATGTCATTTTCCAAAAATTGTTCAGAGATTCAAAAGATGTCTGCGTACTAGAAAATGTTTGTGGATTTCAAAAAATGTTCGTGTTTTCACATTTGGTTTGAAATTTTGAAAAATTGTGTCTGTTTTAAAAAATTGTTCACATATTAGAAAAGTGTTCGGGATTTGAAAATTTGTTCATGTTCTTTTTAAAAATGGAGTAAAAAAATTTAGAATTCCAATTTTTATTTTTGTTTTCAAAACAATATTCGACATTTTTTTATTTTTTAAAATCTTGAAACGATCAATCATTTTTGTAAAGATTGTTTTAAATGAGCCGGTTCGATGAGATCTTAAAAAGCTCACGCTCTTGCTATGTCATTATCAGCAGTTAGCTCCATTGGTTAGTAGTACGCGTTGAGGACTTGCATGTCGCGAGTTCGATCCCTGTCGGGCTCCTCACTAATTTCGTTTTTTTTGCTTGCGCTCTCCTTCGTTTCTTGTTAGTGGGTCGGCCCAGTCGCGGTGTCCTCTGTGCGTCTCGCTGTTGGACGCGAAGAGCGTCCAATAGGAGCTCCCGCTTGCGCGAGTGCTTATTACTCTATATCCTATCTGGTGGGCTCAAAAGCAGGCAATTCAAATGACAAATTTCAAAGTCCTCTTTCTACTATGGGTTTCATCAATAGATACTAGGAAGACTTGGAGATAGCCTCGGTGTGCAACAGGTCTCCAAATTATGTCTCAGCAAGAGCTCGTGCAGCAAAGGTAACGCGACTTCCCTTACTATTGGCGGCATGAAGTTGAATGTTGATGTTGGGCGGTCTAGACACGCTGGCAAAGGGGCGATGCTAGTGGCAAGTTTGTTGGAGCTTCAACAACGATTTTCAATGATCTTGTTGATCCAACTAGCTTGGAGGCCCATGGATGCAATGAGGTGTTGGTCCTAGGATAAGATCTCATTACAAGATTAAGCATCGCATCCGACTGCTTGGAGGTAATAAGGAATATCACCAGCAAAGCCACATGTGTGTATTCTGCTATTCTTAAAGAGGCCAATTTTAGGCGGACAATGTTCCAAAGTGTTTCCTTCCGGCATGAGTATTGTGAAGCAAATGTTGAGGCCCATTCATTGGCAAAAGCTTATTCTTCCCTTGATAGAGGGCGCCATCTATGGCTTGGAACTCCCCCTGTGATTGCATGTATCGCTATGCTTTTGAACGTTGAATAAAGCCTTGTTGCACTCAAAAGCTAGTTGTTTTCACATGCAGCGAATGCCTAAATGGTTTCCCTAAGGTTTTCTAGGGTTTACACTGCCATCCGATGGATCCCCGTGGGAGTGCACAAAATCATGTCGATTTACTAGGGTTCTCCTTGGTGACCGAGAGTCCTATAGGTTTTCACGCGGCGGGTCTGTTTGGAACCGATGGTTTATCATGACGCAGCAAGATCACAAGGGGGTTGGTCATGGCGGAAATCGGGAGAAGCATGAGTTTGTCGATGTCGTAGATGGTCAATGTGCAGGGAAAGATGGAGCTACAACCAATCCGACAAAGGAGAAGAACGGATAATGAGGTGAGGGCAGTGAATAAGCGGCTATTATGGCGATGGTGGGTATGCTAGGGCACGGCTGAAGCCTAGTATGAAAATAGGCCCGAGGGGCTAAATATGCATGGAGAAGAAGCAGCCGAACTGGATTTCCGAAGAGCTGAGGAGATGATATAGGAGGTCAGATGTCTGCTGGGACTCTTTAGGATACATACGACGAAACCTTTCACCCGCTTGGCATATTTCAATGCCATGACGATAGAGTGCATGCACTTCGGCACATGAGGTGACACTCAAAGTGATGGCGGCAAATGTTCCTAGTGCAGTTTCAGTTCCTAGCCGGTTGGAAGAGGGTGATGGATGGCGACCCATGGATTTTTCGTGGGGTAGATGTGTTAATGTACGACTATTACGGGTTTACAAATATTTGGTACAAAAAACAATTGAGTCAGACAAAATTTAGTTCTGGATTTTTTAGATGTGGTAATGTAACTTCGGCTGATTTTTTTCCCTAGATTTTTTGAGTCCGACAAAATTTATTTTCCTGTAAAGTCCAAAAACAGTAGAAAAGAACAACGGGGAAGACGCGGAGTTTCTGCTCCCGATCTCATCTGCACCGCGCTCAGAAAAAAAATCAAAACAAATACTAAAAAATTCAAAAAATTCCAAATGTTTTTTGGGTCGTAGATAATTTGATGCGTGAGGTCCGCTTCAAATTTCAACTCATTTCTGAGCAGCTCTCGGCAAAAAAGACAAAATCGGGGTATGTAAAAATGTTTACTGTTCACGCACTGTTCTGACCTGATTTGTCTTTTTTTCCGAGAGCTACTCAGATGTCCAAATAAATTGAAATTTTTGGAGCGGACCTCACGCGGCAAATTATCTATCACAAAAAATATATTGGAATTTTTTGAATTTTTCTAGTATTTATTTTGAAAAAAAAATTCTGAGCGGGAGCAGATGAGCCTGGGCACCGAATTGGATATCCGAACGGGGAACAAGCAAAAAATGTAGAAAGTATGTTAATTTAATATAATATGACATGGAACAAACAAAAATTATACATAAGTTTGAGGCGTATCATGCCCCCTCCCCCAGCCATTGGGGTGGGATCTTGTGCCCCCTCCGTTGCCTCCGGGTGCTGCCGCTGCCATGGGAGAGAGGTGAAGAGTCCTGCAAATTTCTTGTCTGGAGATTTGAGCTAATGTAAAATTTTATATGAACATCGTGAAAAGAAACACTGAGAAAACTTATTATAGGATTCAGTCCTACACATCAAACAATGAAAAATCTACATGGAAAAAAATCATAAATAATCTAATCATGCAACTGCCTACGGAAATTCTTTGAATAAAAGGAAATGTCCTATAATTCTGTGTTTTTCCTGCGTAGCATCCAAATCCTTATTCTTGTAGGAACATGCCATGACTTTTTAGTCAAACATTTTCTACTCCAACGTTTTTGGAATCATGCGTTCCAAAGGGCCCCTTAGCTTTTACCATTTCCAACAAGAGAAAAATATTCTACTTCTTGAAAAATAAATAGTAACATACTGATGTGGTCATCCAAAATCAGGTCAGTCATTTTTTTTGTTGTTGATGCAAACAACAAAACCATAGCAATCATCGGAGGATATGACAAAAAATGCAATTAACCAACTGTAATCATGCTAGCTGCAGCTATAGCCGGCCAAATACACAAGCACTCAACTTTCTCTTGTGCCAGTTCAAAAAAGAAAAAAAAACAAGAACTTCTTTCAGGCACAAATAGCCAACGTGCAAAGTCCCTAACCCCACATCACGTCAGATAAATCCTGTGTTCAAAACCCAAGTGCAGAGGTCGTTGATGAACTGATCGATCGTTGCAAATCTTCAGCTAAGTTGCAGAGCTGCTCCCGAATGCGTCCACGCTGGAGCTGGCCGCTGGGGACACTGCCGTTTCTTACGTGCATTTTCTTCTTGCAGCAAAGCTGTTGTCAGCAAAGTTTGTACTCCCTCCGTAAAGAAATAGAAGAGCGTTTAGATCACTATTTTAGTTTGAAATAGAAGAGCGTTTAGATCACTATTTTAGTGATCTAAACACTATTATATTTCGTTTACAGAGGGAGTATTTCAGTGTCCATGAAAAATAGAGAGTGTTGTGGCTCTCATAAATACAAGATTGAAAAAATAACAGATCATCATTCGAACTGAATATTGACTGTATTCAACATAAGCACGTTACTGCACAACCACAACATAGACGTGCTTATTTTATCCAATTCATTTGTCGAAAATAGCTAAATGAGTTGTTCCAACAAATTGGTAGCCAAGATACATTTCTGCAGAATATGCAATAGCGCCGACATAGTGGCTACTACTAGGGTCTTTGAAATAGAGGTTCATCTTCATCAACTCAACCTAATGAGCGGAAGTGAATAACAGGAGAAGCCGTAGCCGAAGCGGCTGTCATCTTCTCCCTCAACAAATCAAGCTCCTCACTTGTCCGTGGATAACTCGAAGGACGAAGCGCCACCTGAGGAAACTTTTCGAAACACAATGGGCACACCTTCCTGGAGTGCAGGGATACCTCCCTGATGTTCACAGCAGCTTGAATGACGCGTCTAATGTATCCGATGAAATTGTCATCGGACTGGAAGCCATAGATAGTCAGCCTTGCCAGATTCTTCTGCTTAAAGTGAGGATCAGATGGCTCCCACTTCACATCCGTTTTCTTGGAGACGCTCTTTTGTGACTCGATCAGGCACTTATGGTCCCATACTGTGATGCAAAGCTCCTCTAGGTATGGTGCCGCTTCAAGAAGGAACAGTGTCCAGGAGATATCACATTCTTCGCGAAGATGATCCAGATTCACAAACCGTAGTTTGGCAAGCACAGGAGCAAGCACTTTGGGGCATTCTGGTTGAATCCAAATCTGTGAGAGATAAAACAAATTAGAAGTAATAATGCATGCAAGTTGTGCATAAATTGTGCATCATACAGTTAATGAGAATGGGATAGAAATGATTAGAGTGAGTTACCTTTTCACTTCGAAACTCCAGATCCAAATCGCTTACAGTGGGGGCATTAGCAAGCAGCTTGCTTAAGTTGAGTGTCTTGCCTGATAAGTATGGACAAGCAAGACTGAGCTTCGAAAGCTGAGGGACAAAACCAAGAACCAAGGGATTATCATCATACTGCCAATCCCTATAGGACATCCGCTGGAGCTTTGGTAGACAGGCAAGCTCCACTGTTTCAAATTTCCCAAAGATGATAACAAGCTCAACTAGTTGAGCGTGTTCTACATGGAGCACCGAACGGACCCCCTCGTCAACCTCAAAGAAAGACAAGAACTCCAACCGCTTGCAATGGCTAAGGATGTTGGATATATCTGATTTACCAAACCTCATATTCCGTAGATGCAGCCGCGTGAGACCAGCAAATGCATCCGGACAACCACGAACAAAATCATTGAATTTCTCAGCATAGAGCAGGCGATGGGCATCAGTGCAACGGCTGAAATCCTTCTGTGTCATGATCTCAAACTCAGCTGCATCCAATTTCTGGGTCACCATGGCGAGGCCGACAGATTTGCCGATGGAGAGACAGCGAGAGGGAACCAAGAAAAATTTGAGCTTCAGCTTGCGAACGGTGATCTGTGGAGACCTCGTACTAAGGATCTTGTCCGTCACCTCAGCCACAATACCATCCATTTCAAACAAATCACGAGGGCTGAGATCAATTACGATCTGCGAGAGCATAGTGGGCAGCTTCTGCAGTCGCTTCGAAAGGATGCAGGTTCTTATGGCATCAAGCGTACCCACCCTCTCGAGGATGTTGAGCAGCAAATCATTGGGCAGCTCGCTTAGCCTGTCCTCCCCATTACCAGCTGCTTTCTTCGACTGTGTTTTCACCGTCCCGAGGACTTTGACCACAACATCACTTGCCAGCTCGCTTAGCCTTTCCTCTCCATAACAAGCTGCTATATCCGACTGCGTTAAGGGGACAGATTAGTCATCAGTGATAGATCGATAATTTGTAAGAACAAATAAAGCAAAAAAAAACGACTTACATCACGGCGGCGGCGACCTCTATTGAACTTCATGGCGGTCCGATCTCAAAAGGAACAAAATAGACAACTTGCATCCACAAACAAAACGCCAGCAGTTATTCTTGAAACGATGCTCCTTCGGTGTGCGACAATCGTCGAAAATCAGGCTTGAGCGCTTATTATAGCCTCCTCCGAATCAGGATCCAATCTGGCGTACAATTAGTAAGTCAAGACTGATTTACTATCGTTTCACAAGAGGCGGGCATACTAAAACATCACCTTTTTTCTAATACAAGCCGAAATTGATCCTTTTCTTCTTCGAATCCGATTACAGAACGAGATTGCTACGTGTGTTTCCTGATTACTTCTTCGAATGAATCCGACCACGTGCCGCCGGGTGCCAGAAGAGGAGGGCAAGAACGGGACGGAGCCAGGAGGTCATACCTGCTTGTGGTCGGGGCGGTGGACGTTGGGGACGGGGGCGCGCTTGGAGAGGAACTACGGGAGCGACGAACGTCACAAACGGTGGCGTCCAATGCGGCGACGGAAGGGCGCGTCCGCCGTCAGTGCAGAGAACGAGACGTCCAGCGTCGGGCGCGGCACGGAGGACGACGGCGTCAGGCGGTGGCGAGAGCGGCGGCGCGGCGGCGGGGGAGTTTGGGGAACAGAGAAGCCGAGGATACTTCGTAGTGGGCTTGGGCTGCTCTTGTCCATGTCTTTACACTCGGCCGCAAATTACCCAAAAAGAAGTTGGGCTGGGCTGCGAAACGGGCCACAAGCTGGACCAAGCGGAAACAGGCCCGGCTCGGTCGCAACGGGCCGAAATTTGCTGCTCGGCTAGGCCTATTTCCTTCTCGGCCCGAGCTGTTGTAAGTTTCGGGCTGAGCCGAAAAGCTCGCTCGAGCCCCTGCGTCGGGTTGGCGAAAGTGGGCGAACAGTAAAATAAAAAAACTAAAAATTTCTAAAATAAATTGTTTGAAATATTGACAAATGTTTCCATAGCTTACAAAATTTTATCATGAAATGACATTTGTGGAAAATGTGGCAGAAAATTTGATCCTCCAAAATTTATTTGAAAATAACATTTTGCAGCATTGATTTTGTTCTTTCTGCCACGATTTCCACTAATCTTATATGATGATGAAATTTTGCAAGCCAAGAAACATTTCTTCAATGTTTCACACAAAAAAAAATTAAAACTTTTTGAATTGTTTTCCTTTCTTTACTGTTCACCCGAGCTCATATGAGCTTGGGATTAGAACAGCTGAGTCCGTCAATCGGCACCTATATTTGATCGAACAGTCTAAAAACACATATATTTGATCACCTAAAAAACCTATATTTGAGCGCTCGTAACTGATTTTCATGATAATTTCGGCCCTTCCCGCTCTGCCAGCCCTTCCCCCTCCCTCCTTCACACTGTAGCCACGCCGGCGCCTCCTAAAGCAACCCGACGGCACCCCATTCCCATTAGTAGAAAAGGGGGTATTTGTCCCAGTTCGTAAGGGCCTTTAGTCCCGGTTCATGAACTGGGACTAATGGGTCGTTACTAATACCTCCCCCCTTTAGTCCCGGTTCTAACACGAACCGGGATAGATGGTTCTTCACGTGGCCGGTGCGCCGAGCCCAGGCAGGGGGGGCCTTTGGTCCCGGTTGGTGGCACCAACCGGGATCAAAAAGGCATCCACGCGTCAGCATTCCAGTGGCTGGGGTTTTTGTTTTTTTTTGAAGGGGGGGGGGTTGGGGGTTTTGGGGGATTAATTTAGGTGTTTCATATATTGTGTTAGCTAGCTAATTAATAGAGAGAAGTGTCCTCTCTTATGTCCGTGCTTGGTCGACACTATGTACTATACATAGAGAGGCCCTCGACACGCTAGCTAGTAAGAAAATGAAGGGAACCATTAAGTACAGAAGTTCGTCATGCATACCGAGAGAAGTGATCGATAGACCTCTCCTTCTCCAAGAAATTGGTCGAACAACAAGTTTTCGTATTATCTATCCGACGAGACTGGCTACATACATATACAATATGTAAGATCTCTCTTAATTACAATCCCCTAGCAATTGAAATCAACTTCCACATAGTATTCTCTGGCTTTATTGATGACGTGGTCAAGAAAGAATCCCGCCAATTCCTCTTGAATTGGTTTCATGCGATCTTGTTCTAGGAGTTCATTCCGCATCTGCCATGTCTAATTTGAAGAAGGGGGTTAATTAATACATATATATGAATGAAACTCAACAGAAATGATGGTGTAATAAAATGAAATTGTGAATATTGTTGCTTACGCACTTCATATTGTCTTCTAGAGTAGCCCCGCTTATTTTTTAAAGTCGCGTTGTAGATGAACTCGCACATGTAGTATCCACAGAAATCATTCCCTTGTTCCTACCACAAGCACTTTACGAGAAATAGAGGTCAATCAAACCGATAATGAAGCATTATAAATGGCATTGATGAAAGTATAGCTATAGAATCAACGGGAGATGCGTGCAACTAGCTAGCCAGTAGTACTTACTTTCGAGTGTGTATATCGCAGCTCCTTCGGCAGTCCCGGAGCTTCTGCGGTGAACTGTTTCCAAACCCTGCAAGACAAAGAAAATAATAATTATTACTTGAGATATCAGGAAATGAACAAAAAGTTGCCGATATGGTGCGATAATGATCAATTGAACTTACTTGTTGAGCAATTTACTCATGTCCGCATAGGTTTCGGGATCTTTTCGTCTTGAGTCTACGACGGTTACTAGTCCCCGCTCAAGCTTAATCTCCAGAAGAACATAGTGGAAGTTGCACACGCATGCATAACTCATCAATTACATTACTATAATCTCGCTCGAGTAATAAGGGAAACCGAATATGCACACGACAGTAACACTCACTTGAAGTTGTAAGGAAAGAGTATGGTATCTTTGTTTTGATTTTTGATCAACAATTGTAGCAAGTTGGCCTCGGCCTCTTCGGCGTGCTTTTTAACCAGAAATCCATCTATGATATTTGTGTTAATGAACCCAATATCATACATTTCTTGTTTTCTGCACTCGACGATCTTCAATTTGCATAATATATTGAGGATAATTAATTATAAATACATGCAATGAAAGAGCCGAGCTATATATAGAGACTTAATGACAGAAATAGTACTTACAGACAGTAGCAAAAGACCGTTAATTTATCGAGAGCCTTTTGATTGAAGAACGCGAAGAACTCCTCAAATGGAACACACAACAGATCAGTTCCAACGAGGTCGTGCTCCTTTTTAATGTTCAGATACAAACTATTCGTCCCCCAGACTCTCTGCAGGTTTTCATGTACCAATTATGGAATCTTCGCATCATCGTTGTTAGAGATTTTTCATCTTTGATGAGAGGCTTCCCGTACTCGTATCTGTGTTCGTCCACCTCCATGAAATCAGGAAGTTGATCATCAGGCAGGTAATCTTGTAGATTGCCATAACCGGCCACCATCCCCGGAGCATTAGCGACGATGTTGCCGCTAGACACATTGAGCAGGGGGCACGATTGGTTTGCTTGTTCGCCGAGCTGGTCAATTTTTTCGCAGATGCTCATTCTCTTGACCTTTGATGTCTGACAGTACTTCCCGACCGCTCCGCTTGGAGATATGTCTGTTCAGTAATGCGCTCATAGTTGGTTCTCGGCGGAGACTTTGCCGGTTTCCTCAGGGCATCGAGAGTGCGCTTTGCTTTCACCGGATCTACCTTCTCCTCCGGAGGTGGATGTCTCTTTGCTTTCACCCCTTCAAAGAAGTCCTTCACGTGGGTCCGCACGATCATCGCGTTTTCCTCCTCGGTCCTCTCGTACGGTAACTTCTCTAGAGGCTTGAGAGGTGGACCATATCTGTATTGCCTCTTGTCTCTGGCTCTGCTAGACGCCGGAGCAGACGGAGCGGCTGCGGCGTCTGTCTTCTTTCGTGCTTGCTTACGAGGCGGAGGAGAAGGACTACGACGCGTCGGAGCAGCCGGGACGGCGGCGGGTCTCTTTCGCTCTTGCTGGCAAGGCGGAGAAAGAGGAGGCTGCTGGCTGCTCGGGCGCGCCGGCGCAGGCAAAGAAGGAGGCGGAGTGCCGCCACGCGCCGGAGAAGGAGGCCCAGTGCCCTGATCGTCACTCGCCGAAGGAGGAGGCGGTGGAGGATGCGGAGTGCCCTGACTCGCCGGAGGAGGAGGAGGCGGAGGCGTCCAGTTCAGAAGGTTGATGAGCTCCTTCCGCCATAGGCATGGAGTCTTCAGAGCAGAACCCAGCCTAGTCTCCCCTTCACCGGTAGGGTGGTCAAGCTGGAGGTCCTCAAATCCCTCCGTTATTTCATCCACCATCACCCTAGCATATTCTTCTGGAATCGGTCGGCAGTGAAAAGTTGCGCCGGGTTCAGTAGGATAAACAGAGCCAACAGCCGCCTTGACCTTCATATTCATCCATCGCGCCATAATGTGGCAATTTTGAGACTCCGTGATAGCGTCCACGGGATAGCTGGCAGGAGCCATCAAGACATGCTCCGGCTGAAGCAGCTCGGTGGAAGCCATGCTGCTTCTCCGCTGAGATGGCGGGGTAGCTTCGGGGGAGGCTTCGGCAGGTCGTTTGCTGCGATCTGCTTCTCGTTCCTCTTCTCATTCCTCTAGCCCCATTACCCTTTCGTGTAGCGCCTGCAGTTGGCCCTGCTCCAGTTTCTTCATCCTCTCGTGGGTTTTGTAACCCCCTGCGTCCGGAAAACCAACCTTCCACGGAATGGAGCCTGGCGTGCCTCGTGTTCGTCCAGGGTGCCCAGGATTCCCGAGGGCCATTGTGAGCTCGTCCTTCTCCCTGTCTGGAACGAACATCCCTTGCTGCGTTGCATTGATATAGTGCCGAAGCCTCTTGATTGGTATTTTCGGCTGCTCGTCCGTCCAGTGGCACTTCCCTGATACAGGGTCCAAGGTTCCGTCAGCCACAAAGAACCAAGTCCGGCAACGGTCTGGCCAGTTCATTGTCTCTGGTTCGATCCCTTTATCAAGCAGATCATTCTCAGCCTTGGACCACTTAGGCCGGGCTTTGAGGTAGCC